AATAAAATCTATCGTAAAATTAAAATTTGTGTTATTAGTTTGAAATTAGTTTGAAAGTTATTGTCATACCTCAACATTCATTGACATGAAATCATATTCCAATTCAGGTTTGCATGTTTCATTTCCATTTAATGCATAAATTTGTTTACAAATATCAGTTGAACTCATTGATGAATCAAATTTATGAGAACCACAACTTTTGATAGTTGGTGCTGCGCCTAAATTTTTTGCAACGAATTTGAAATATAAATTAAAATATCAATTGAAATTATAAATAAAAAAAGAGAGTTAAAAAAAAGAGATTGTTGTAAAATTTTCATTTTAATTTATAATTAATACATATGCTTATTTCGTATTTTAATTAATTTTATCAAAAATTTGCAATTATTCTTGGAAACAAATTATTGAAAATACAACAAAATAAAATTAGAAATAAATTTTTAATTTTTTGTTTTTCAAATTTTTGACAAAGATAAATTTTGCAAATTTATTCATTAAATTTACTTCAAATTATATTACAAAAGTTATTTCATACCCGCATAAACCATATAAAACATATTGCCAAGTTGTGAAAGAACTAAAAATTCTGCAGTAATACACAAGAAAATGGTATAATATCCAAGTCGTATTAAGTTATCAATGGTAAATACTTTTTCAGATGATATTTGTTCAGTCATTTGATATCCACTTTCTGTAACTGTGCAATAAATTTGAAATGAATATTTAATTTTTAAATTTTTTAAATTTCAACATTTAACACTAACGTGCACAAAATTGTTAATTATTATTATTTTTGGGAATAATTGCAGCTAAGAATTTTTATTCTGTAAATATTTATATTAATATTTCAATGTGTCTATAATATATGACTTAATTAAAATTTCTGCTTGAAAATATCATCAATTTGAATTTAAATTTAAGTAAAAAAATTGATAAAATTGAAAAGAAATCAAATTTGGATTTAGTAATTTTTAAAAATTGCATTTCAAAAAGAAATCACATTTCAAATTATTTTTTTTAATCAAGCAAACTTACAACATTTTATTCGGAATAATTTTCTATTTAATGACAATACTAATTCCAACTTTAGCTAATTGCCTTTTTTATTTTCACTTTTCTAGCAAACAATGATATGATGCTAAATACATTTTGTAGTATGTATGTAATAAATAATATAATGTAGCAATTCCTATTATTCATATGATAAATAACATAAATTTGAATCAATTAAACAAATAATTAAATTAAAAAAAATAGTTCTGTGTTATTTTTAGGAAATTTTTTTAACAATTTTAATGATTATAAGTTATCTTTCAATAATGATTATTTGATAAAAATTATTCCAAATATTAAAATACAATTAAAATATTGAACGGAAAATGTGATCAATGATTGTGACGAATGGTACGTTTATATAATTTTGCTATTTACATAAATACTTTTTTCTTTTTATTTCCTTTTAATTTTTTTTTTCGTTTTTCTTTTTTACTTTATTTCTTTTTTTTTCTCGGTTTTCTTTTTCAATATTCTATCAAAAATATTCTATTATTCTATTTCAATATTCTATTATCGCTTCATTCTTTTTATGAATAGATTTTTTATTATCAAAAAAAATT